CCCCCCTAAGGAACCGGCAGCGAGCGTCTCCTCCGGCCCGCGGAGGCGCCGACGGGGTGCCTCGGGAAGGGTCAGCGGGGGTCTGACCCGCCTGGCCCTGTGCGGCCAGGCCTGAGTCCCCGCCGGTGTTTGACAGCCCCGTTAGGAAAGGCCGTTCACCACCACCCCCCAGGTAACGGGGGAGGAATGAGTTGTACCCGTGCGATGGCGTCCGTCCGCGCAGGAGACCCTGAGCACAGCTCTGCCCGCTCCACGGTCGGGTTTGGCTTTGCGCTCCATGTCCCACGGTGCTGCGGTCCTGACGGGACAACCGAGAGGCTTTGGCGGCTGAGCCGGCATCTTGCTGCGCCCAAGTTCAGCGGCACTGGCGAAGCAACACACCAACCCTGGAGTCACGGGCCCATACATGGCTTAGTTCATTTTTGGGCTCCCACCGTGTTCTGCTGAGTGCTGTAGAGCCACAGAGCCCATGCAGAGGGACGAAGCCCCATGGAGTGCAGGCAGGAGTGAGGGGACAGCAGCTGGGCACAGGCAGGGCAGGCAGCGGGAGGGCACACGGAGCCACTGCTAGCAGGCGGTGAGCAGCACCCAGCCGCTCTGCTGTGAAGGTTTCTGCAGATGTCTGATGACAAAGAAGAGCTGTGAGGAGGGTGATGCGGTGGCTTCGCAAATGCTTAGAGGCTGCTTCTCCCAGCTGCGGAGCAGAGCAGGAGAGAGCATGAAGGGGCTTGTTGGAAATGGGCAACGGAGACGGCCTCTGTTGCACAGGAGATGATGGGTGGAGGAGAGGTGGATAATGAAGGGCTGGGAGAGGGAAGGTGAACAGTCCGCAATTGGGGCAGAGGAAAGAAGGTGCCAGGGAGGAGCGTGGGGAGGAATGATGTGGTCTAAGCCATTGGCCAGCACAACAATTTCTGCTGCAGCCCTCTGGATACAAACCAGCACATCAAGGAAACCTTTGCAAGGCGTGGACATTGTTGGGAAGTAGGAATCCATGGAGAGATGATGATGTGCCCTCAAATCACTAACAGACAGGCTGGACGACGCCAGTTTTACCTTCAAACCAATTTCTTGACAATCATCTACCTTCTCCCTGGCACCCCAGCTTGTCTCCAGGGCCCCTGTGGGTCCGTGTCTGCTTGATGTCTCCCTGGGATGGGATGGGTTGCCCACTCCACCTTTGGATGTTCCTTATGCCCTGTGGAGTGAAAAACATTTGCAAAATTGAGAAGGCTCCAGAAGTTGTTCAGGAAAACAACAAAAAAAAAATCTCAGCTATGTTATGTCTCCAGGGCTGTGTTCATACATTCAGTGAGTTATGAAAACCAGCTCTTTGGGCTGGTTCATTGACTGGCAGGAATTAGAGAGCTAAGTCACTGCAGGGTTGGCAATTAGCTCCTGTGTAAGTGTTTTTGTAGAATCAAATTTCCAGCACGAGGGGAAGAGAAAAGCGTTTGTAAAGCAAGCCGCCCCCTCGGTGCAGGAGCTGGGCGGGCAGGGGGCGAGCGGCAGCTCCTGCGCTTCTGAGAAAGGGGGTTGTGCCTTAAACAAAAACAACTTTGGTCTCCTCTTCTGAGGGGTAACACCCCCAAATCCTTCCTCCCGCAGCGCCAGGGAGCTCGCCTGCCCCGGGAGCTCTGCTGTGCAGTTCTGCTTACAGCCGGAGCAGCAGCATTTTACATTCGGCATTTGCCCATCTTTTGCCCACTAATAAAGCAGAGAGGGGGGCAAGGAGTTGTAAAACCAGAATAATGTAACTGGAAAGGCCCTGCATCAGCAGCACCTGCATTTTTTCCTTTTCCCAGCCATGTGTCCAGGGGGAGCAGGGTTCCCTTGCCCGTGCAGCTGGTCTGTCCCTCCCTGGCAGCCCCGTCCTGCTGAGCTGAGCCATGAGCACCTGTGGGGAAACAGGTCTTAAAGATGTGAGGCAAAAAGGCAGGCAGGAAGAAAAGGGTGACCTCAAGGGGCCCTTCACTGCGAGGAAACCCCCCGGGGTGAGAGCTCAGCTCCTTGCCACCAGCATGTGGGCACAGTCGAGCCTGTCAGCGCGTGGGGCTGAGGGTACCGCACCGTGGGGTCCTCTTCCTTCCTCGGTTGACCCTGGCTGTGGGAAGAAGGTGGGCATGTGCCGGGGGAAGGAGAGGACGGAGTTGCGGGGGGCGTAGGGAAGGCTAGACCTCCAGCCATAGAAAACTGAGGTTCATTAGTTCCACTAAGCGCAGAACAACTTGCTGAAGGAGCCTGGGTTTCAAGCTGAGCGCGTCCCTTTAAGCTGCGTCTGGGGGACCCTTTGATTTGGTTAATTAGACACAAAGTTTTTCTGTGCTGTGGGAGGCCGGGTATGTGCTGAGGAGCACAGCTACCCTGGGTTTACTAATGAGATAATTTATTGTGGCTGTCTGAGAAAGCTGAGTGTACACAACTCCACCCGCACACACACCACCCACTCCAAGCCCTCTGCTCCCAGCTGGCGAGTCCTCAGCACCAGAGGTGGAAGTACGGTGTCAGGTCTCCCGCACAGAGACCTGCCGAGGAGCCATCCTTGCCTCAGGGGACTTGTGCAGCCAGCCCTGTTTGCCTCTAAATATCGCCACAACAGTTTTTACTCCTTCCCTGGCCAAACTTCCTAATTCCCCTATTTTTCAGCCTAAATTTGATCTTTGATTCAATCAAGCAGCTTCATCTCTGCCTCCTTCCCCTGCTCCAGAAGATCCCCTCCTTACATAGTTCAAGTGTGAGGGCTTGCCTGCACTTGAAGGTTCATTCTGGATTAGGGGACATATAAATCTGAAAGACAGTAGCTAATTCCTGAATAGTGCTGGAAAAATTTACTCAAAACCAGTCATTTCTGAATAACTCAGTGCACTGCCTGTACGTTCCCTCCTGTTAGCATCGGGATCAGCTAAGACAAGGTTTGTAAAAAGCAGGTCTGTTTTTTCCAACTGCTTTCTCCCCGTTGCTCTAAAAGCAGATAATAATCTCGCCCTTTAGAATTTGCCTCACTTAAATCCTCGTGCTGTCACAGCTGAAATGTGGCTACAAAGAGATCTAGGAATTCCCCAAGCGTTTGGATTGCAAGGGGTTATTTCACAGGTAAGGAATGCAATACACGGCCTCCCTGGGTCTCCTACCCGACTCTGCCCCTCCATCAGGCGACAGAGCGCCTGTCTGTCTTTACCAGGCTGCAGTTTCACAGGGCGTTTGCTAAGGGGAACGGTGCCACCCGCGAGTGGCGTGTTTCCACAGAAGCCTTCTCCACACAGCCGTGCCACGCTGTGGTGCATCCCTGCCCTGTCCCTGCCACGTGCCACCGCCAGCAGATAGCCATCTGGAGATGCTGACAGAGCCTGCTGCCTCCTGAGCTGCAGGTTTGCGCTTGGAGCACCCTAATTACTGCATGCAGGGGCAGATCTGGGCAGTGCTCTGGGTGTACCTGAATTTAAGTTATTTAGGTTAACAGCAAATTGCACAGGATGGTTGCTTGGGGATCTGGGCAAACCATTCAAAGCAGAAGAAAGTGTCTGATGAATTAGCCAATGTTTTTGTTTGTGGACAATCACCCCCCCCCAAAAAAAAGAAACAAAACCTCAATTTCTTACCAATGTGTTTGCTACTCAAAATTACTCCATGAATCATTTATGCCTGAATGTATTGCAGTCAGTGGGTTTCTCATGTCCTGCTTTTATTTTCATCTTTGAGCTCTAGCTAGTTCTAATTTTGCTTGGGCCAAGAGGCTGATTTCAGTCTCCCAAGTCCATACAGCGCTTTGAGGTCAGATGGAAATATGCAAGCACTACTTTTTCATCCTATAAAGTTTTTTGCAAGCAGAAGTTGCAACTGACAAATAACAAATTCGGTGATATTTGATGGCATCGCGACTGCAGCATGGCGCACAGCATCACACACTGGATGCCATGGGCTTCAAGCACACTCTCCCCACACAGACCTCTTGCCATCTGCATCCTTCCTCGGTCTCTTTTTAGCCAAAATACGATGCAGTAAAATGAAGTGACTGTACTGGAAGAGTCAGAGATGAGAAAAGGGAGGAAGAACAAAACACAGCATCTAACTGGAGGAGCTGCAGATGGCTAGACGTGACTGCAAGGGAAGGGAAGGGAAAGGGAGGGAAGGCAGCACTACAGAGTGCCGTTTCAGCTTTCAAGTCTTGTGCTCCCAGGATCTACATGCCATTTCTTGGATGTGGTTTGCCCTGAGGGCAATCTCAACAGCTGTGAAGTTTCAGCAGATGAACAATGTAGTTTTCAATAAATTTCACAAAGCAAACAAAAGGATTTTAACTCATTCATGCTAGCCCACTTCTGGTCTGAAGGCTTTTCCGGACCTGAATCCATTCACATCATGAGTATTTCCTGTTTGAACCCCAGGGCCTGACTGCTGGAGCACACCTGAGCTAGACTGCTCTGCTCCGGGTTTCCAGAGAGCTCTTCCCCATTAGAAGAATCTTCTCTCAGCCATGCCCTGGGTCCTGGGAGCTGTAGGTACATCTCTGTATTCACCTGTTCCACTAAAACCCACCCTGGTGAGGTGGAGGAACTTATCAAATGTGGATGCCCTCATTCCCTGGTGGGGAAAGAGGAGGTGGTAGAAAGAGAAGTTCCCCAGATGTCCTCTTCCCCAGTGGCAGCTACATCTCAGAAGTTCAATCACCTTTGTATCCACACATCTGGAAGCAGGGCTTGTGCACTTGGAGTCATGTTCTCATCCCAGGTGAAGGTAGATGCCATTAGTTGTAACTTAAAGAAGGGCTTTTTTGTCCCAGAAAGCCCTTGTCAAGAAATTATCTCTTCCAAAACACCTCTGGTGTATCCTCAGATCATGAGGACAACAATTACTGTAAGCTCTGTGCATTCACCTGCTAAGTACGGGACAAGATAGCAAACCTGAGCTCAGAGATTTTGTTTTGTTTTCTCCACATCTGCAGAGTACCCAGCCAAAAAGCCAGCATAGGTTGGTTTGGTGTGTGTCTGGAGGAACTGAGCAATGAGACAGTGCCCTTTGCTGCCTCTCTTCTGGCTGGGATCTTGCAGGCGGTTTCAGGGAGCCCCGGGCAGCAGGTTCACACCCCATGCAGGACAGAACAGTGCTGCGTGGGCCCTGGAGGGATCCCCCACAGGCTCTCTGCTTTACCTGCACTGTGCCAGTCGATGGGCTTGGGGCTTGGCATTTCCTCCTCACCCAAATGTCTATCCAGAGGCTATGTCCCTCCACTCCTGCACAGCTGCTCCCTGGCTGGTTTGGTTTCCCCCCCTCTCTGGTCCAGACACACAGCAAACATCT